GTGGAAAGCTGCCTTGGAGTAGAGGAGCGTGCAGGGAGGAGGGGATACATAGGTGAGGAAGTATAAGTTGATAAATAATTTTTCTTTCTGTCAGACGGCACAGGAAATGCAGTCTGCGATTTCTCACCATGACGTGTAAGACAGAAGTAACAGACACATTATCAGATTTATCCATCATTCTGACAAAATCTCGGCTAAGTGTTGTGTACCTGCTGCAATTCCTTTAAATGTGGCCTTTGAAGGACACTTTCATCTCATAAATATTCAGTAGCGCATCTATAAAAATGCGCGGAGGAGTGGGGGAACTTGGAAAGGAGGCGCAAGCAGACGAGTGAGGAAGGTTTGTTTGTGTAGTGTCTTGTGCAATTTTTATTGCTTTATCCCAGCTCCTGTCGGGGGTTCTTCAGCTCTGCCTGCAGATGTTCTTTAGGTGACTGATGTGAGTGAACCTGGACGTCACACAGTTGGTTTGGGATTTGCCATCTGCCTGTGCTGCAGACCAGTTTGGAGAAGAAATAATTAGAAGGAAATGAGTGAAATGATAGAAGTTGTGCCTGGCTCTCCAGCAGTGCGCTTTATCTCTCCCAGCTGTTCATTTCCATGTTTTCTGATATATAATTCCAACAGATACACTAGTACTAAAATTCCAGTCCTCTTACTTAGAGGTCAGGGATCCCTTGTAGCTTTAGCAACCAAAATCCATTTGTCACAGCAATATAAGTTTTCCTGCTCTTAATTTTTATTTTAAGCATTGAGATTTATTTTATCTATTTCTAAACCAAATTATTACTGTGTTGTGGCTAAGAGTAATGTTTTTTACACTTCAAGGTGTGAAATGCTGCATCCCATGGTTTCAAGTCAGTACATGATGTTAGAAAGAGGCAGTGACACAGAAATTTCCAGTAAAGAACTTAACCTAAATAATCATATTAAAATCCCAAATTCTGCAGAGTCTAGCCTCTCATTTCAGGTCATTGTTGCTTGCTTCTTGCCCCTACTTAAATTCTGGATCTTCATTTATGTTCTGATGTATGTCCTGATCATTCTCCTGTGATTGGGAAGCTTTCCTTGCTTGAAAAACATCACAAGTTCCTAAGCAGAAATTTTCAGTGACATTTTTATTTGCAGAAAGATCATAAACTTCATAAACCTTTGAAATGTATTTTTTCAGTACTTTTTTCACACTAAGGCTGAAACAGCTGAGCTTGTTTTTTTTTTTTAATTAATGCAGAATACTATAAAAAAATAAAGTCCTTATGAAATAGTTTAGTTTGATTCCATTTATGTTTCTTAAAGAGAAATCTTTGTACAGGGAACGGGTGGTGATGCAGAGGGAAGGCTTGCTTGGCACAGTGCTGGCAAAGTCACAGCTTTTTTGTGTTGCTTAGTACCAACATGTCTTTCCTTTTGTCACACCTTAGGGTAACAAAACAAAGCTTAGGAAAAGCTCAGGATATGCACAAATTTCCCAGCTGTTCTCTTTACCAATACAGAACATCCTAAATAACATTTCATATGTGTCACCCCTGTCAGTCTATGCTGACTTTTTCTGCTGTCCACTTTACTGAAACTTTCCACTTGTTTCTAGTCTTCTAATTCCACTCTTGGATGTTTTTTTTTCCATTCTTTTATGTAGAAACACATCCTGTTGAAAATCTGCAGCCACTGCTTTCCTGGGATACAGCCCTCTGTACCTTGTTGACCCTGCACTGAGGCGAAGCATCAGCATGGTGTTATTATCTGGAAGAGCCCATTTGTCAGAACATTCTGGCAGTTTCATGTCCCTGATCTTGGACTTTCTGTGGCTCACCATAAACAACCCTTCTGCCCCCAGAAATTCTCTAATCAACACTGGGTTGCAATCCCTAACACTGAGGTGCTAATTAAAAGCATCTCTGAAAAGGTCAGGCTATTTGAAGACAAGAACAGAATGTAAAATTAAAGGCAAAAATTAGGCTTGGGGGTGCAAGAGGGGCTAGAAGAATGAGTCGAGAAGCTGCTGCAGTAATTTAACATTCTTCTTGAAATGTCCTCATGGCTGTAAGTTCACTTTTGACCTTAGTTTGCTCGCCTTGGGGACTAATTTAGTACAGATTTTCATACCACATTAAATGGCCTCTGCATATAGCTGTGAGAGTTTAACAGGAAAGCAAACCTGTTCTTTTCTTACTGGGATTTTGAGCATATGGCAGAAATCTTTTCAACTTCCTCTGCTGACAAATTGGGAGTCACTTTGATTTTTGGAGACATTTTTAATTATGTGTCTTTGGTGTTTTGTAAAACCACTGAGTTAAAAATTAATATAGCCCGAAGCAGTCATAAGCTCTGTTTCCTCCTACGCAACATAGCAACAAAACTGTTTATCATGTTTTACTGTGCAATCGTTACAGGTTTGCACTCATGTTCAGTTTAGCTCTGATGTTTCTGATGCGTGGTGGAAAGTTTATTCAGTATTTCTGTCCTGGTGCTTTCCTTAAAAGATGCTGTGGAATTCCAGAAGCAATCTCTGAATGAAGGGAGCTGGCTGCAAGTTATAGGGGATGGGAATCCTCTCTTGGGAGGAAAGGCTGTGGGAGCTGGGGCTGTTCAGCCTATCAGATCCCAGAAATTAATACTGCTTTTCTTGTATTTCAGTGATTTTAATTTCATCTGTGAACAATATTTTCTATACCAGCATTTTATCCATTGCTTCTTGAAAATAGCCCCAGTAACCCCTCCTCATGTTTAGTCCCCTTTTGCTCTGAACCACATTAAAAAGCCCAGCTTTGTTCTGCAACCTGCAGTAGCATCATGAAAGATGATGAAAAAAGAAACTCCAGCTGTTAATAATACCAACACCTTGAAAATGTTTTGAAAAGCAGGTCCACTGAATGTATTGAAATAAAAGACTAAAGGCTTTGCAGGAGGATGATCCCATTGTACCTGGCTTTTTCCTGAGTTTCAGTGCCTTGTCAATGAGAAGCTGATTCTCACTTCCAAATCCATTGCAATCACTTGGAAGACAGCACAGAGCTTATAGATCAAAATATGTCTATAACTAAAGGAAAAGCTCTTAGAAGCTGGTTTGGCAGACTTTCAGGTTTCTTTCTTTGCTAGTCCAATGGTCACCAATCAAACAAATGGCTGCAGAATATTGCAACTGATTTCACACTTCAAGAAAAATACCGTGACCTCATGAATAGAAAAACCTTAATTTACCAAACCCAAGTTTTTATTCTTTTTCTTTGACTACATTGTACTCTCCCTGAGGGGAAGTCTTGAGACATGAAATAAATGTGTGAATCCATATTCCAGCACTCCATCATAAGCAGACTGAACCTGACAGGTATAGCCTAGGGAGGAAAGAGAAGCTTTCATAAAGCCTAAGTAGTACAGGCTGAAATGCTCAGGAAATAAGACAACTTGAAAAAGCATTTAAAAATATACAGGGGAAGGAAAAGGAATGTAGGTACCTTTTTATTGATAAGAAAAATAAGGTATTTTGTAAATGAACATTAAAATCTTCTTTAAAGTGCTGAAACATGGAATTATTAACCAGACTTTAAATATAGGCACAAAACAAAACTGGTTGTTGGGTGGATGTATTGATTTCTGGCTGTTGGTAACTTATGCTTTTGTCAAAGGTGTTTATCCCTTTAGAATCCCATTCTCTGTTATTGGCCAAGTTTTTGTCTTGGCTCAAAGTAGAAAAAAAAAGTGTTTCCATTTTCCATGGCGGAGCTAAGAGCACACATGAAGGTTTTGTACTTACCTCATGACTTGGTCTATATACAAAAAATATCTTGGAAATACCAAATTCCACTGCTTGGAAAGGCAAAAGACAGAAACCAAAACAGAGAAGGTTTTAACCAGAAATTTTAGAGAAAATGCCTTCAGATAAGTATGGCTGTAGGAATTTTCATGGGAGAATCCACATGACTGTCCAGATGTCGGTAAAGAACATTTGGTTTGCAATGCTTCTGTACCTGTTCACTGCCCTGGTGCTTGAGGATGTGCTGCCTCTGAAGGCTGAGTGCAGCAGGATTTATTCCCCAAGTTCAATATTCCCAGATTTTTACGTGTACAACCCTAGAGGTTGATTTCTTTAGTTCCATTTCAGTAACTCACATAAGCATGAATAATTTTGCATAAGAGATGTTACTTTTGGCATTCTCTTTAAATACCTTAATCCACCTTGAGATGCTTTCTCTGGAGGATGCAGAATAATTTTCATAGAGTGACCATCCCTGAGCTGGGAAGTTCCCTACTATTGTAACCACTCCAGTACTCTGCCACTGGGAATATTTACATTACCAGGTGTTTGCCACCTGTCAGTTGGCAGAGTGATCTAAATCAGGTTTTTTTCATGGAAATTCAGGAGGCTATTCTTTGGACAAAGTAAATTAAAGTGGAAAGTGCCATCTTCTCTTGTGGTCAAAGCAGAAAATGAATCTTCTAGCCAAAATGCAGTCTGGAGATTCTCCTTACCCCTCCTTTCATTGCTAATGTATTTCTAGGAACATTGTTATTGTGGCTTTTTTATGGCAGTGTCCACATTGACTTCAGGCTGGGCTTTGACCCTTATAACTTTGTCCCTGCAAAACCTCATGGCTTCCCTGTAGTCCTCCTGAGTCATGGAAGGGGAGGCGCAGCAGGGAGCAGAAGAAATGAAATGCTGCAGTGTAGCTCCTACCCTTATACTGCAGGGAACCTGAATACACACATATGTATCACTCATTGTGATAATTACATCCAGGGGCACATGGAGTGATGGAGCTGGACCTAAATCAGAGTCGTTTGTGTTGGAAAAGAACTCCAGGATCACAGAGTCCAACCCTGAAATGGAGCTAAGCATTCCTGGTTCACAGGCAGTGTCTCAAAGCAGCGTAGCACAAGGGTGAATGGATTATCCAGTGTACTGAGGAGAAATCAAGCTGTAATTACCAGGAATTCCAGGGGGAAAATGCATGTTCAAGTGTGTTCTAACCTCTTGTTTTGTGGTTTTTTGTCCCCTCTAACAGAGACAAGGAACCGGGGCTGCGAATGGGAAGGACAAGACGTCTGGTGAGAATGGTAAGGGTTGTCTTTATTTCTGGATGAAGAATACTGAGTAAAATGGAGCCCAAATACCTTTTACTGTAATGAGAGATGCCTGTAGTGAAGGCTTTGGTGTCATAACTTACCTTTTGATTGTGTTTGAGAAACTGGAAGGGCTTCAGTGGGTTTGTTTTCTTTTTATTTGTATCTTTAAACCCTTTGCTAAAGTAGAGTCTCTTTTCTGAGTGTGTACTGTGGTAAACCAAAGGACTTCACAGAAGTCAGAGCAGACACAAATGGGGCTAAAACAAGATTAGATATGTGTGAAAAGGACAACAAAAAAACAAGGTGGGGTATTATGAGCTGCTCCATGAATGAGGAAGGTGAAGAGAAATAAAGTTTCAAAGGATTTGCTCATCATGTTTCTGTAGTCTGATTAATCCTACCTAATTTTAGGCCCAGAACTAAGATACCAAAGTTGAAATCCACTTGTTTAGAGCTCATTTGAGTGTTGCCAAAGAGAAGCTGTGGATGGAGCAGCTCACATGGAAGGACCAGATGGCAAAGAGGCTCCCAATTTCATCACTGGAGCGAGTTTGGACTCCTCTCTCCTCCTCCAAGGAGAGACTCATGGGGCTTTTTCAGACCTTAGGGGCTGGCAGAGACCAATTTCAACCCTTTAAGTTGCATGAACAATTCTAATTAAAAAATGGTGGGTTTTTTTTTTTCCCCTGAAGAATGCAAAACTGAATTTTCAGGTAAACAGTAATTGTTTGTGGTTTTATCAGCTGAAATCTCATTTTCTTTCTTAGAGGAGCAGAAATGCTTTACATACAAGTGATGATTGATTAAAAGCCGGTTACCATCAGAAACATTTCTCAAAGGAAAATATTAAAATATGTATATTTTAATATACCCAGCTGAAAAAGAAGCAGCGTCAGAAGGAGGACTGAACTATAAAATGTGCTCTCTGCTTCCGTTTGTTCATCCAGTTTTAATTAAAAGCACAGGTTCTGTGTCCATCCCTTCCCCTGAAAATCAGGAAAGATCCAAGTCCCTTCTCTGAAATACCAAGGCTTTTCCAATGGGTCATTTGAGCCATTATTTTGGATATGTGTTTTGGTCTTTTAAGTGTTGGTGAGAGTAGAATTTTGGGCCCTTTGAAGCAACACATCCTAAAGCATTAAAAGCCTTCTTTATGGATAGTTTTCCTATTACAGGGAGGTGACTTTCCCATAAGGGCTGTTTGCATAATGTTTCAGTAAATGAAATCTGTAGATGATGCTCCCACTATGATAAAACACAAATTGGAGTGGGGAGGAAAAAAAAAGAAACAAAATAAATATTTTGGCTTGTTATAGTGTCTTGAATTAGTGGGAACAAATGTACCCTGACAGCAAAGCAATTTGCATTTTCAAGTTAACAGGGAAGGAAAGCAAGCAAAATTATGTCAGCCATTCGGGCAGCATGGGGAGCATGCTTTTCTCTTTTCTGTTTGAGCACATTATGAACTCAGCTCATTTGCTTTGCATTTCTTTCCCAAATAAAAATTTCTTTCCGAATAAAATTGTCCTGTTGTCAAGTTTAGCTTAGATTTACTGATCCTACAGCCTTTTTAAAAGCAATTTTTTTTTTCTTAGTGGGGATTTTGGGTGAGCAAGGGCTGCATCATTAATTCAAAAATATATATGGTTCTAGCTGTGGCATAATTTTATGTGTAGCATACACAGACAGATGCGCAGTTAATCTTGGGCAAACAGATACCAATTATTTTTTGTAATGAAATTATAGCAGAAAAGCTGTCACCTACATAAAACACAGGAGCAGCAGGGGAGATGGAATAGAGTCCTCTGATCTCCCCAGCCCACATGCTTGCATAAATATAAAGCAGAATCAAAACTTTGAACCTGAGATTGAACGCTAAATCAAAGAAGCAGAAATGTGTAACTCTTTGTCCTTATTAGCTCTGTGTGGTTAGAACTGAAGCAGTGATTTATTGCTCTGAAAATTGGGGTGTGCTGTAAACCTACATACAGAATATAAATCCTCTGTTCCGTGTTTTTCTGGACAGAAGTCTGCAATATGTCCATGTCTTAAATGTTATTAGCCTCTTCTCCAAGTGTTTGTTTCCCTGTCAAAAGGAAACTTTCCTTCTTGTTTCCCTCTTGTTGAAAAGGAGGGAGGGTGGAGAAACAAAAAACTCTTTCATCTTATAAAAAGAAAGGGAAAAAAAAAGAAAAGTCATGCTCTGACAATGTTTGCAAAAGCAAACTGGTCTGGTTGCTGTCTTTGCTCTTGTTTACAGATCAGGAAAAGCTGCTGAAAACTGGCCCAGACAACAAATAAAGATGCTTGGCTTTTCTCAGGGTTTGATTCACACAGTGAGACACTGTGGGTTGAGCTTTGTTCATGCATTGCAGTAGAAAATGAATTTTGGGCTTGCCTCTAGGTTAGGTCGAAACTGAAGAAAATAAAATAATGACCATGGCAGCCAGCAGTGTCCCTCTTTGAAGACATGTATGGCCTTGCTGTCACCGTGCAGCACTCAGGGAAATTCAGTCTCTGGGGATTCCTTTTATAGCAGGGATGGTTTGGGTAGACACAAATGCATGTTCTTGTTTGACCTTCCTTGGACAGGAACAGTCTATCCTTAATTGTGTTTAGTTCCTACACCCACAGCAGCAGTGGCAGCTCTTAGCAAACCTCACTTCAGCAGCAGGGACTGCTCTGCTGCACACACAGGATGGGGGAGGATGGAAGGGACCACAGGGGGACATCTGGTGCCACCTCCCTGCTCCCAGAGCAGCGGGCACAAGGCTGTGTCCAGAGGGCTCTGCAATATCCCCAGGAGGAGACTCCAGCCCCTCTCTGCTCTCTGCTCAGGGCTGGGCACTGCCCAGGGCACAAGTTGTGCCTCCTGTGCAGGGGGAATTGCTGGGCTCAGCCCCTGCCCGTGGCTCTGGTGCCATTGCTGGGCCTGGAGCAGAGCCTGGGCCTGCTCTGCCCCTCCTGCACCCAGGGACAGCCAGGGATGGACAGGGACAGCCAGGGATGGACAGGGATGGACAGGGATGGACAGGGACAGCCAGGGATGGACAGGGATGGACAGGGACAGCCAGGGACACCCAGGCACAGCCAGGGCTGAGGCCCCTCTCAGCTGGGGCTCCTCTCCAGGCTGAGCAGCCCCAGCTCCCTCAGCCTTTCCTGGGCACGGAGATGCTCCAGGCCCTTCCTCAGCTCCAGGAGCTCCTGTCCCTGCTGTGCTGAGGAGCCAGGGCTGGACACAGCAGCCCAGAGGTGCCTCCAGGGCTGGGCACAGGGGCAGCATCACCTGCTGGGAATGCTCATCCTGGTGCACCCCAGGACACCATTGGCCTTCCTGCCCCAGGACACTCAGCTGGCTCAGGGACAGCTCAGTGTCCCTCAGGACTCCCACATCCTTCTCCAGCAGGCCACCCCCAGCCTGTGCTGCTGACTAGGGTTATTTATTCCCACATGCAGGACCCTGTCTTTGCCCTGGTTGAATTTCAGACAGTTCTTCTCTGCCCATCTCTCCAGCCTGTCGAGGTCCCTCTGAAGGGCTGCACAGCCCTTGGGGGGGATCAGCTGCTCCTCCAAGCTCTGTGTCATCATCAGACTTGCTGAGGAGGCTTCTGCCCCTTCATCCAAGGCAAATTAAACAATCTGGGCCCAGTACAGAACCCATAACCTCAGTGGGACCTTGAAGGACCTCAGTCTACCTGAAACCCAAGAGATGCTTATTTGGGAAACTGCAAACGTAACTTGTAAACCTGTTACATAATGCTGTTCTCTCTGGTAGAAAATCCGAAGGAAAGACAGCACTGCTATTCCCACACAGCTCAGTGTGGGATAAGAAGCTGTAATTTCCTTTATGCTCACCTAGTTTGATTAGTTGGGACAATCATATTTGCAGATGCAAATATGAAAACAGAATGTTCCTCTCTGACTAAGCGAATAAGTGATTCTTCTCTGTGACCTTGGCAATGTCACAAAGTTCCTTTGTAGGTTAACACTTGTCACTTCTTGTTCTGTTTCACATTGCCCTGTGTTGTTTTTATTCTTGTGGTGTAATTTGCAAGCTGCTCTCATGCAATCTACTCTTTAATAGCCCAGCACAACTGCCAGGGAAACAATTACATCAGAAGCAATTATTTCTATTTTCAAATTTAGAATCACTCTTTTTCCTATTAATAGATCTCACCCTTTCTTCTCAAAGTACATAAAGCATGTGATTATTAATTGGTATTAATTTTTCTTGGAAGATGAGATTTATCATTCAGTAACATGAATATTTATGATAACAAAGTAAGTGTTTTCATGGGATGAACTCAGTGCCTTCCTGGCGCTGAGTGAAATGAAAATGAGTAGGTTTTGCATGAACTGAGATGTCATGGTGGATTAATCCAATCACAGCAAGATGGTCAGTTGTATTTTCAGTTTCTTCTCATTCCCAAACACTTGTCACTGTATGAACTCTGCTTTGGGGCATTCAGAAAATTATACATGAATAAATATTCTGTGTTTTATCCTATCTATGGGATGCCTCTGTGTAAAAGATGAAGATACAGTAGAGTTAATAAAGTAAATTATTGTATTTTACATCTAAAATGGAGTCACTTCAGTCTGAATGCTTCTAGAAAACATTAAGGGTAAGGGTAAATAATTGCAAAGCAATTCTGCGTGGGAGAGTAGAGATCTCTCTCTATTAAGGTTTTCTGGTGTAGGGAGAGGCATCTTGCAGTGTTATCAACAGACCATTCACCCACTCCCTCTACTCAAGAAATTTGGGAAATTCTGCTCAATGCACTCAGGAATAAAAAGAAAATCTTGCCAGATCCGACAGAGTGAATAAAAATCTTCATAGTTATTTATGTAGAGTGCTTAGCTTAATAGAGCTTCAATTCCTGGCTAGGGGCCAGGATCATTATTGTAGTATGGGCTAATATAAATATCTCTTTAAGAACTCAAAATTAATTTTCCACTAATATTCTCCAATGACTGCATAAAAAATGTGC